AAGTTGTCTCATTGGTTTTTTAATTATAAATAATTTTCAGGTAGAATAGGGTCAAACTGGCTCTGGAATCATATAAGTAGAAAAAAATTTGCCCCATATATCGCAAGAAAATGAATAAGTATTTTTGATAATTGTACAGCCCATTGCCAACATAATGTGGTTGGCATTGTATGCACAAAATATTAGCGAATAATTCATATTTGCCTTTCATTGAAAATTCTCTAAGCTTGCTCATTAAAGCCTCCGAAGCATTTTTCAACAATTATTTAACACCAAACTGAATGAGTTTCTCCTAATCAATTTTGTTGAAACATTTTGAAAACCCGCTAAAGCCGCTATAGGTGAGGAATTTCTGTCTCTTGCGTGGTGAATTAATGTGGTTGGTGAATATATTTGCGGAGTAAGAAACATATAACTGTACATCATATGTCACCACTCAGGAGGCCTTCACATACCAATAGCGAGTGGTACGCCTAACACAATTTTGGAACCACTGGATTAGTAAAAACTGTAAAAATCAACGGCAAATTCCTAATCTTCAATTAATTGAAACATGACTCCTTTCTTTTTTTACAGCACTGTTACAGACCGTATATAGGAGTGCAAAAAAAAGCTTTAATATCATTAAAGGTTTTAGAGTTATTTGAAACAGGTGCTGAATGACACCGAATCAACCATATGAAGTGCCGCCATTTGCTCGTAGACCTAATGGCACTTCACTAAGTTTCCTACCAATATATTTACACGTTGGTGAGATAACAGTCTTGATTTCTCAATAAAATCAAAATATTTGTCAACAATTAATGAGTGTTTGACATGTTAACAACCTAGTTATGCAACAAGCGTTAAACTGAAGTTAAGCCAGCGTTCGTCAGTCCTCGGATTTTCATCAACTACCCTCAGTAAAATATTAATGCTCAGGTTACGGCTAAGATAGCTCATCACCATTATTCACATATGTATAATATATATATATATATTATAATAATAATATTATATTAATATTAATATATAATTATAATATATATTAGCTGACAAGGATTTAACAGCAAACTGAATGAATTTCTCCTAATCAATTTTGTTGAAACATTTTGAAAACCCGTTATGAAAGGGGCCGCCGTTTGTAACTTCAAAATCCTATCTCAAACCTATATGGATATTATATAGGAATAAACTCGTTATGAGAGGGGCGATATATATAATAAATATATTATATTATATTCATATATAATATAATATTTATATATATATATATAAGTATTTCATTGCGATATATTTTTTATTAAAATAAGAAATAAAGCTAAAGAAAATGAAGCTATTTTTGAAATATATTGCGATATATTTCAATAAATATATTATTATATTAATAAATATATTAATTAATTCGAGTCAAAGAAAATGTATATTTACATACATACAATATATACAATATCTTGCGATATAATATTTCATTAATATATAATATATATTAATATTAATATATTAATATTAATATAATAATATGTATACAATAATTATCGAAGGCAAATTAGATCAAAGTAGCTAAGTAAATTTTATTTCATACACAATAAAGTAGCATTGTTCTATTTACTTTTATATTCTAAAATGATGACGTTTCAAAGAGGACAACAAAATTATTGGAATTAAACTCAAAATGAACTCAACTAACTTGACGGATTTCAAATACCAGAATTCGATTACTCTTCAGACATCACCACAGATTAACTGCTACACTCATTCCTATTTTCCTTTAACGAATTCAGTCTTCATTAATTAAATAAATTATTAGCGACAACCTCGATCGCATGATAGTAATCTCAATAACGAGACAACTAATCAGCTGACAAGTTTAGGTATCATTGGTTGTACTGTTAAAATTTTACTCAATGAAAAACGAAAACGTGAATTTAGGCTTGAATATGTGGGTCGGATGTTCGCGGTACTCATGTTCCCTGCTGCTCCCCGAACCATCATCCGCTGTGCCATGGATAAGCCAATGGACCCCTAAAGTTTACATACTCATTCAAATAAACAATTAGGATTAATAAGTCCTAAGCACTTTGCCGAGGCAAAACTAGTCCCTCTAATTTTATCAGGTTTGAGGAAAGAGGGTGCTAAAGTGGTTTGAGATAGGATTTCGAAGTTACAAACGGCAGCCCCTTTCACAATTATTTAGGGTAACTATGTAGTCAACGGTTAAGTAAGGCGTGTTGAGAACCGAGTCAAATTTATTGATGATGGAAGAAGGATGCAGTTGACCAACACATGTGTGGGTGATGGTCGATAAAATAAAGACATGACATAGCAAAGCAAAGACACAACAAAACAAAACAATGTTGAAAGAATATTGAGAGCAGGCGGTTATTCAGTTTTGACAGTTACACTTCGAAATTTTTAACTATCTATACAATGCAAGCATTGAATTGTAGTGAAAACATGGCAGCTTACTACTAGCAGTTGTTCGCACGACGAAGCTGGCCAGAAAATAAAGCTAAGCCGCCCTATAGTGCATGGCTAATGTTGCCCGCTTACGCACTCTAAACAGAATTCACAATTTTTGAATGACCCTATTAGAACCTAAAAGTATTTTGTCGTTTGCTGAATTTTTATTATTCAGAAATTACACGCTTATTGTTCATTTTTCAAAATTGATAATATTTTAGATTTAATATTCTACTATTGCCTAATAATGAACATTGAAGTAAATAGTTGGATTTTAGCTAATAAGGACATGAAGCAACAAAAACAGTTCATCGAACTTGGGGATTTAATAAAAATAATTAGGACGTTAACAAGAAATGAGAGCGCGAGTTATGAATTGGAGTCTTTACAGGTTCATACAGATTTGCTAAATTTCTATTCGAGGCTTTCAATCACGCACCTGTTTTCCCAGTGTTGCCAAATCATTCAGTGTTAGTATAGCTAAAAAGTGTTAGTATCTAAAAAGATCGCATTACCTACATTTTACATACACTTTTTCCGCCAAATGCGTTGAAAATACGCTAGATCTAGCGGAAAAATAGCTGAATTGGCACCACAGGTTTTCCCCAGCCCGAGGATTGAAGAGTATATCAATGATCGAAAAAGGGTCGCCTGCCGAAGACCACCACTGCCCTGGATGTAATGGACCATCATGATTCCTGCCTTCCGGAACGTAACTTTCAACACTTCAAGCTTTCCGTATCTAGGCCGTGGGTAGAACCAGCCCTCGGTCGAACGGTCACTTGTCGAAGGACGATAAATTTTGGAACAGAACTATGCTATCTGAAACCTAACCTCAGATGCGGTGAACGTAAAATTACGTAATTTAACGATGCCCGGAAGTCAGATTCGATCCGCGGCCTGGTGGTGCAGGGCAGGTTCTATGCGAGGCCGGAGGAAGAAAAAGCAGAGTGGTTCACGGCTGATTGGTGGATGTCCGGAGAGATCATAGGCGTTCGATTCAGGGCTTATTGGTGCACAAAATTGGTGGTGCACGGCTGCGCTCCCTCGAAAAAACGGTTGAAGCGTCGTTTTTAACGGTTAGCCGTTTCGCGAAATGAAACCATTTCACCGTTTTGTTGGGAGTTAACCCGAACCGGATATATATAGGTCGAATTTCACAAGACGTCCGGCCACTAAAACGTCGGTCCAACAATTTTTTTGTGGTTTTTCGAACAGCGCATAGCGCAATCGCAGCAGACATGAAAAAGTATAACTTCAGTCAAATCGGCTGGAAGAGACGCAATGTCTGGACTACATTCTCCTCTTCAGGACCACTTCATAAGGCTTGGGTACACGAAACATCATCTGCGACGGATCAGTTTCCGTAGAGAGCGTGACGCCCTCCGGTGGCTCTATGGTGAAGCGCTGCAAAATGGCCGTCGAGAAGAGGTAGAGCTCCATGCGAGCCAGAGACTCCCCGAGACACTGGCGGCGCCCTGAGAGAAACCAACCAGACAACCCGTGTAACAGTTAAGCAAAACGTTGGAATTTTTTCGGCTTAATTTATAAATAAAATATTCATAATAAACATGCAATATTGAAAAAAAATCAGAATTAAAACTAAATCAGCTACCGATTGAGAAAGGTATAAATCCTTCTTTTTTCCCGTCGAGTTTCCCTTCGTTGTCCAGGAAGTGTTCCGGATAGAACTGGTCTGGATGCTTCCAATAAGCGGGATCGCGATGGCACATTTCGGCACAACCAAGAACCACCGTGCCCTGTCACGTGAATTATTATGTCAACCTTAGAGCACCTTCATTGTTCTCTTCGCGTTTAATTTATTGTTCTATAGCACTTATATAATAATCAACCGCATTCCTCGATTTGTTAAGTATGAACGAAGGCCGAAGTGTATTGATATGCAGGTAATGAAAAATTATGCTTGATGAATACTATTCAATTTACCTTGGGTATTTCATAGCCCTCGTAGGTCACGTCAGCTGTAGTTGCGTGCAGCAAAATGGGTGCAAGTGAACTCACTCTCAGGACCTCCAGTAACACGGCGTCAACGTACTGCAGTCTGCCGGAAGCATACATATGCAATAAAATATCAACGCACATGAGATTATCTAAAGTATATAATACTGCTTGCAACATCAATATCAGCAAAGAAATGACTTAATTATAAGTTTGTGCTGCTGTGATCGTTTGAAAGACTAAGTACTCATAACTTGATATCAGAATGCCACGTCTTTATGAACAAAGATCAAAATCAGTCTTCGGTATTGGTACTGAGAGCAAGTGCCGTGTCTAAGGTTTGCATGCAGTTATAGACTCAGTTCCTGAAGACCATCCGTAATTAGAACTTCGAAACATTTCTCCCGACACTCACATTTTCTTGAAGTCCATCATTACATTATATAGAGGCACATCAGAGGCTATCACTTGACTAGCTCCAAACTAGTTCGCCGCCTACAATAGTACTCGGTCATATTCTTATAATGACACATAAATCAAAAAGTTTTTATTTATGAATCAATCACAATAAAAAGTTCATCAATGTCCTTAATTCTCACTGATTTCTGTCGTTGAGTGATGGCAGACGATCTTTAGGTACAACTTGGTCCAAACATTTGTGAATTTTAGCTTGAATCTGCAAATAATATGACATCATCATATATAGATAGATGTGAGTGAATACTATATATATATACATCTAACATTAGTAAAATATCATTGTGTTTCACTCACTGAATTTCAGCTAATATCAATCATCTTAACTTACCAGTTAGTCACCAAACATCTAACCAATCACATATCTTAATTAAATTAATATAGGTAACTTTCCTAATGTCCTAAAACAATCTTGCTGAACTTCAGAGAAGCGAAATCTAAGAATTAGACATTAAAAGAAGGAACCATACCCGAGACAATTTAGTCACCTTCAAATCCTAGCAAATATCTAGTGGCCCAACTGTATTCTTCAGCTATATGCGTGTAATTAGAACGCTACGCGTACTTTATTGGGAAGAGAACTCCACCTCAGGGTTGATGGCCATGTACAGTATCATCCATCGAAGAGTTGTTGTGGTAGTCTCTGAACCGGCGAAAAACATGTCCCCCATAATGCATTTGAAATCCAATTCTGCTCACAGTAAACAAATGAAATAGTTTTATTGTTAGAATTATTCTACACTAGACTGTTTCCATGAATGCTTGAGAAAATAGCGGCCAATTAGTGTGTGCGAAAGCGTCTCGAAATACTCTCGGCTTATTATTAATTGGACGCTGGCTAAGTGGTTGCATATGTATTTACGAAGCATTCATGTTGTGGAGTCAAGTTAATTAATTCGTCATCGTATAATAATTGAGATGTATTGAGACCCAATATGTTATAGTTCCTTCCTAAAAAGAACAAATTGCGGCGTTCCTCAATCATGTTTATAGCAACCAGTCAAATACAATCATGGGACATGGTTTACAAGTACTGTTCATAATTAATATTCACAAAACTTAGCAATCATTCAAAGGTACTGTATGAATTCGTATTATTCGAGTTTTAAAAACAGTATAAGTTGAACCCTACTCCCGTTACCATCTTCAGCAGTGAGGTATTCAGGGACGTCTCTGTGGGCACGCTCCAGCAGCAGCTGGTCGATGACGTCACGAGGGTTGTTGGGGTCAAGGGTCGCCATGTGATCATCAATAACTTGCTGGGAGTGAGAGAAAATCCCGCGTTATAATCGCAAATTTAATTTTATACATTTGTAACCACGGATTTCGGGGAAATACATTAACGGAAGGCAGACGAAACTATAAAACTGTCCATTTGCCGCGACTCTCCGACATGTGGAACAGCCTCTCTGATGGCATCGTTTACGCTCCGAGTATGAACGCCTTCAAGAATAGACTAGACAAAGCTATACAGGAATAAATGTTCAGTCTTGAAATCCTCAGCACCATACGGACCTGGTAATAAGTCCAGCAGCTATCTCAAACAATCGTCAGTTATGGAAATATCGGGTTCAAAAGACCGGATCCCTTGTGAATCAAGTCATGAAAAGTACATGTATCGGCAACAGGCCAGGGGCCTATTTCTTCCAGTGCCGACACTTTTAATCTATTATATTCTATATCAACGTCTACTTTCCTCGCTGCATGGTCATGATTGGAAGTATCAAGCATGTAAAATTCAACTGTTTGGATAAGCATAGGTCATATGTTTAAGTGGTCTAGGTTAAAAATTTATCATCTAAACAGTAATTCGTTCAAACCTTCAACAACTTAACATTGTCTTTTACAACATGGTTGTGTGAGACACATGATATGATAATTGATGACACTTACTTTGAACATCAAGTAGATTTCATCTCGATTCCTGTAGAGGATCTCAGCTTGCAAAACTTTATTCAATATGACCGAGGGCAGTACTTTTGCCAGCCAAGGGAACACGTCGACAAGGAAAAGCGGACCCTCTACGACGGCCATTTCTTCTTCAAACCTGGTACAGTGCCGCACCATCACCTCATCATTCAACCCGTAGCGCTTGCCTGGGATCAACCACATTTGTTTTATGCAATACGGTAACATAAATCTAGGTCATGTTGCTGTGTATTATGTATGATTATTATGTATTAGATTATGATATGTGTACTATAGTTTAAACTCTAAATTAGATTATGTAGCTTCTTGTCTAAGACAGCAAGATTATAACGTCACTTCTCGGATCATTAAGACCATGACGGTGCTACAGCTTTGACTGTTGGTCTCTCCAAATACGTCAGTTCCTTCCCAACGTTGTTAAAGTGAGGTCAGAACTGAATAGTATGCATAAACCGTATACAGTTATGAATACATATGATGGAAAATTTAAAGATATTTGGCGTTGCAACAGATGATTTTGTTTCGTACTTTATAACAGTTGATTTTTTTCTATTGCCACATCGAAATTAGATTTAAATCCGTATTTATGATTCACGTAAAATCTTGTACAAAAACAGGTCTTTGGTCCCAAAATTGCCCATCGAATCAGCCCAACGTGCAATATTAACAGCTATCTAATTCTTATTGATCGATAATTTCCAGAATATTGATTTTACTTGCTAGCATTTGCCAGATGACGTTGACCACAGCGCAGTTGAAGCAGACATCCATGACGGCAGGCTTGCCGACGCAGGTTTTATCCAAGTGATCCACCAGCATCTCGGCCTCTTGTTGAATGGAGCCCTCGAGCGCTGTTTTGCCCATACCGAGATCACGCAAGTGGCGCAACATGAATCGCCGGTTCTCGGTCCATACAGGACCATGGCTGTTGATTACGCCTGAAGCAGAAGCATTTATTAGGCTAATTGCTAAGCTTCGTCAATTATTTTTCAACCAAGACAATTTGAAACACTACTTGCAAGCAGCATTATTTTCTGAAAAAAATATCATGCAGAATTAAAATCGCTTCTGTTAGCACAAGTCTGACTTGATTTGAGAAGACGCTTGTGCACTGAATCTTATTGAACCACAAGATTTTTCTACCTGTATCATGAGTATTATTGAAGAATCTATTAAAATTCTAAATGTAAAAATAATATCCGTCACGATTAGCATCATGTATTGCTTCAAGCCTCGCTCATAATTGCTATGAGGTCTGGTGCAGAGCTGGAGTTAATGATCTCTATTCATCTTGAATCGCTTATGCTACATTCGTGACTTAAACCTTCACTCTATAAATAAAATTTGGTTCTTGAGTGATGATTGCACCAGCATTTTTGAAGAAAGTGAATAAATCAAAAGTGAAGAATGCCGGACGTCGCTGGATGTCGGGATGGTTGAACGCCTTCTTGATGAGGTTGTAGTCGGTGACGACCACGATGCGGTGAGAACCCCACTTCGTTCTGACGGAGGGAAATCACGGAATGGACCAGCTATGAGGCAGGAGAGACTTACTCGTTCACCTTACACCATACAAACGATCAGGGATGAAATTGATATAGTGAACGATCAAAGCAACAATCATTGTATCTTAAAAATCTCACAGTTGTAGACCAACTCGATCGTAGCTCGTATGTGCATCGTTAACAGTTTCTCGTCTGCAAGAACAGCGTTGAGAACAATCTTGAACGATTAGGTACTCGTACATTGAAAACAAGTGAGCTCCAGACTAATTTGGGACATAGTTTGAGCAAATCTACCTCATGCACGCGACACATACTGCAGGATGAGCTATACTAATCTTCTAAAATTTTGATCGTTTTCTATTTAATAAACTCACGTGAAAACGGGTCCGTGTTTCTTCCTGAGATTCGAAAAGTGTTCGGTGATGGAAATTGAACGCGGCGGCAACTCACCCAGAATCGGCCACCCAAACGATCCTGTTTAATACAAAGTTGATCATTTTAAACATGGTTGATTATATATACTCCTTCCGTGCCAGCCAGCAAGGAGACATTGAATAATCTCTCATTAATTAACAATCTATAGTTGATGTGAACAAGAAAACTTGAAGATGGACAGCATTATTTCAGACAATTTTCCCATGTGGCATAATTTGAGCTCTTGATTGAATTTGTATATTATTTCCTGTCTTTTATAACATTAATTCAGCCTCAACTTTATCATGTATGTATTATCACAGTTATGTCAGAGTTATGATCGACTGCTCTTGCCTGGGGGCATCCGCGCTGGCTTCTTAAGAAACTTTGACAGCAGAGCCAGGAGCGCGAGAAAAAGTACGATCTCGACGAACATGTTGGTTTTATATAGAGCACGTGGTTTGTACTGGCCGTAATAGTTCTTATTAAAATATTAGAGACGTTCAAGATAAATTATATGTCGCTAAATTCATTTGCGTTACCTCGCCTTTTTCGCTACAGAGATTCCGTGAGCATTTTCTGCATACCGATTATATAATTATCGACCTGCGAAGAAATTCTTTATCAATATCAAGAATCGATATATGTACTTTACAACGGAAAAAATCGTTCTTCTTGCAGTGTCTACTTCTGAGTCACAAAAGCCGGTAATATATGATGCAACCCTTCATTGCGATATTTTTTAAGTGAATAAGTTAAATATTCTCTCTCACATGCATCTGCACTATATGTTTCAGGGTCCTTGACAGAGATCAGCCTGGGAGAGGTGCTTCTGACACAAGAAGCCTTCAACCCAATCGTATAAAAAATATGTTTCAGGGTAAAGTAATTCCCTGCATGCTTCTTATGGAGACTATTTTAGGTCGCATCGTCTCGTCACTGCACTTTCCTCGCGGCACACTGAGCGACCACTAAGGCGCTATATGGCGCTTGAGATGCCAAGTTGCCAACATTTGGTGCAGTCAAGGCCAAAGTCATAAAAATGTGTACAGTGTACACATCTTCTCCTGCTTGCCTCTTATTCGTCATTTATGATTACGTAATGTTCGTTCGTTCTATATAAGACATGGAATAAGGCCGCTAAAAAAACAATAAATATGCGAAAGATGAAAGAAATGATAGAAAACGTAGTCATCTTGATTGTATTAAAATGAAATTTCGAAGAAAATTCAATAAAGTGTTAAGTCGCATCGAATTTTGATATTGTTTTGTTCCCATGGTGACATTGGCGCAGTAAAGTTAACAAATAAAATTTAATAACAAAATATTCTGGGCGTGCCAACAACAACTTTGAAAATTTATAACCGCCTTATGTCACTATTGTTTCTGGATTTATAAATCCAGTCACTAAGACGTTTTTCCTCGTGACAGACACATTTGCTGAATAATCTGTCGACTCAGCGTCTGACTCAAGCTCTCAGTGACACCGTGGCCTAATAGCTAACTATACATCTGCTTGTACATTCACGAGGATTTGTTTCCACAAACTACTCTCGGACATAATCACACTTCGCTAAGTTTCCTACCATATATTTACGCGTTAGTGAAATAACAGTCTTGATATCTCAATAAAATCAAAATATTTGTCAACAATGAGTGTTTGACACGTTAACAACTTAGTTATGCAGCAAGCGATGAACTGAAGTTAAGCCAGCGTTCGTCAGTCCTCGGATTTTCATCAACTACCTTCAGTGAGAACATACGGCTAAGATAGCTCATGACCATTATTCACAGGCATAAAAAGGCATTCAATTGATAATGAAAATCCATAATGATTAAAAATGCACTACAATTACCTCACGTCCTACCACCGTCAGCAATTGATAAAGACAACTTTAACTTAATAGTATCTACATCGCTGGGTACATTAATTATCAGAGGCAAATTAAGTCAAAGGATATTAAAATCCATCTAGGTTTTTCAGATTTTTTACTCTCTTCATTTCTAAATATTCTTGATTGACGATTGCAATCGAGCGGTGGACGAATGCGCTGGCACTCGTTTAACGCTCTGAATTACGAGGACGAAAATGAGCATTTGGACTAATAATACATTGACTTGAAGAAGAATTAGTCATTCCAGCCAAAGTATATTTTATTTTGCACACGATAAAATTGCATGGTACTATTTTTTTATATTCTAAAATAATGAAGAAGAGGACAACAAAATTATTAGAATTAAACTCGAAATTAACCTAACTAATTTGACGGATTCAAAATACCAGAATTCGATTACGTTTAAGAAGAACTTTGCAGCTTAACCATGGCAGTTGTTCACGCGACGACGCTGGTCAGAAAATAAAGCTAAGGTGTTACTGGCCCGCTAATGCTGCCCGCTTGCGCTCTCACAATTGTGGATGACTCACTCAACTAGAACCTAAAAGTATTCTTGTCGTTTAGTGAATTTTAATTATTCAGAAATTACACGAATATTATTCATGCTTGGAATCTAATAATATCATTTTTTATTTAACATTTTTTAATTGCAAAATGATGAACATTGAAGTAAATAGTTGAATTGTAGGTAACAGGGTTACATGAAGCAACAAAAAATGGTGTTCAACGAGCTTGGGGATTCAATGAAAATAATTATAATGTTCACAAGAATTGATAGCGTGAGTTATGAAGTCGAATCTTAATAGGTATATTTATACGGACTCGCTAAATTTCTACGCGAGCCTCCTTGTCACCTGTTTTCCCCAGTGTTATCAACTACTTTAACGACTTTCTAGCTAAAACCTGGCATTTTCAAGTGGAAATGCACTAAATATTCAAATTTTGTAGCTAAAAAAGATCACTTTACCTACATTATACATAAATTTTTTCTCGCTACAGCTATTTTTTCCCGCGGAATGTGTTAAAAATACGCTAGAACAAGCGGAAAATAGCCGAATTGGCAACACCGGTTTTCCCCAGCGCGAGGATTGAGGAATATATGAATGGTCGAAAAACCGGTCCGACCGGCGTTTTAGCGGTCGGCCGTCTTGCGCATTAAAATAATATCATATATGTATTGGGAGTTAACCCGAACCATCTTGGTGGAATTTCACGGGACCTCCGGACACTAAAACGCCGGTCCAAGCATCTTTTGCAGTTTTTTAACAACATATAGCGCTATCGCAGTAAACATGCAAATTATAATTCCAGTCAAATCGACTGAATGATACATGTAGTGATTCACGAGATTACTAGAAGGAAAACTGTATTTTTATATATTTTAATGCCTTAAGTGCGTTATCTCACTTTGAAGTGAGATAACGCTTACTATCGGTATCTCAGCTACATTACATGCCTTTACATAGCGCGCGCGCCGCCAGTGGGCGGTTTATCGGCTCTACTAAAACCTCCTACTTCTCTCACGGCAAACCTATCTCCTCCTACAGTTTTGAAGCTACAGCAATGAGACATATGCCATTCGATTTGCAAAGAAAGACCTTACAAACTGGTTTTCGGCGTTTTCCCAAGTTCGTCACAGTTCGGATTTTATTTTGCCAAAAATAGGAGTGACGTGGGGTGAAATCGAAAAATTTACAAAAAATGCCCCCACACTCACATAAATGAAAAATTTCGAAAAACTCAAAGGCAATTTTTTAGGTATGGTCATTACGCATCGATTGATATGTCTCAATGTTGTAGCTTGAAAATCCTAGGAGGTGATAGATTTCTAAAGTACCCCCTTTTTTGGCCGTTTTCTAAGAATTTCTCGTTTTCTTCCATTTTTTTCGAAAAATTCACACGTACAAAAAAAGTCTAAGAATTTTGTTTTACATACGTGTAGTGTACCAAATTTCTAAGTGATCCGTCCGTAAATAAAAAAGTTTTTCTAGTACCCAGACGCTTCCCTTAATCAGGTACGTTACTTGTGTATCTTGGCAGACGATCTAAGTCAAATGGACTGAATAACATTAAATGTAATCAACATTGTAAGCCAGTTAATCATGGCCAGTCCCAATATCTATAATTTTTCTGTCAATTGTGAAATAGTTTTTAGCTGTGGGAGTAACAAAATAACATTATTCCTTAATTCACATAATTCGTGATAAGCGCAAAATCTCTCCCGTAACTGTCTGACAACATCACCCGAGCATGAGAACCAAAAGAGAGCCTATTTTAAAGAAGGCGCGGTTGTACAAACGGTTGTCATGTGCTCTAATGTATTTTGTGAATTAACCACTGGCTGAGTGTTAAGTATATTAATAGTGTAAGCACTTATTGTAGTGTAATAATTTTTGTTTCACTTAAAATCCAAACGAACATCTTGTCATGAATAGGAAGTGTTTTCAATCAACCTTAGCCTAGGGCTACTTCTGTACTGCGATCTTCTTTATTCTGGCCTACCCTGCTTAGTGGAATCAAAATGAAGTTAATCGCAGTGACTCACAATTGATAGCATTACCATTACTTTGAAGGTCATACTTAATTTGATTAAAACCTCAAACTGGTGATCATAAATCTCGCACTTTTTTGTAACTTTAGTTAGTTTGAGTTTAACCGCTTCCTAATTCGGATGTTATCGAGTTAACTAGGAAATAATTATTAATTATTCAGTCAGCAAATCATATGATATTCTCTGACTAAGGCGAAGTTATCAGGAAACTACTGTAATGTTTTATTACAGAAATAGTACAAATTGTATCCCAAATCCTTTGAGAATCAGTATTGTCGCTTGCAAAGCTCAATAACAATGATTTGGAATATAAATTTTTAGGATATTAAATTTCTATTTTGTTTAATGTTGGAATAATAACTGTCATGTGTAATTCATGCTCTAATTATGACGTTCGCAGGTCTCTCATCGTATATAGGGTAACATGGGGCAGCGAGCCCACTGCGGGTCATGGGCCCATAGCGGGTTTCTCGCTAAGTATGGCAGATATTGGTCCGTGTTCTCTACCGCCGGTCGACAGTTTCAGTGGGGTGAAGTGTACGGATTTACGTTTTGCTAAGTGTTTGCGTTATTAAGATATATGTAGATAACTGTTTCAGCCCAGATCAAGGTTTTTTTGCTGCTAAATAAAACTGTTTTTGATTACTGTAGATGAAGCTTTTGAAATTACTGTGAATTATATTTTGAAAGTAATATTTATAGAGATAATTTTGAGATCAAATTTAGACTATTAGCTTTTAAAATAAAATGTTGACACGATATAAATTGAAAGGATACCTAGTGGGGGCAACGGGCCCACGCGTGTCACGGGGCAAAGCGCCCATGGTGAAGTCTTGTGTTATACATCATTAGATTTGTCTCAATGACCTTTTCAAAACTGTCACTAGCTTTCAAATTACCAATCACACTTCATATTGCTGGATTTTTCGATTTGCCGCCTCAAGGCAGCAGGTTTAGTTTCTAGTTATGCGTATTTATGACCCCTTTTCGAGTTATTGACTCTTGCCTTGTCAAAAGTTGATTTCAGTCAACACCAATGAGCCAAAAGTTGATGAGTTTTCATGGTGTTAGCTGAAATCACGATTAGGTAGGAATTCTCTGCACATAATATCTGGATTATGGGCAAAACTGGAACGAAGTTTTTTTTTATGATCAACTAAATATATTTTTTCTAGTCAAGGATACATTTCTTCCTGTCAAGGACGAATTTTTTAGCGCAAGGATATATTTTTCAAGTCGAAGATATATATTTTTATGTCAAGGAAATATATTTCTTCACGTCAGTGATAAATTTTTTAAGCCAAGAGTATATTTTTTTCAAGTTAAGGATATGATTTTGAGTTGTTAATAAATGAATGAATGTCATTATTTTTTATTACATTTCTCTCATTTTTAACTGTAAAGTGTTGTTTTCTCATTTTTAAACGAAAATTATGCAATTGTGGTAAAGGGATCAGGGGTGGGCGCCTTGCCCCAAGCCCATGGGCCCATTACCCCAGGGGTGGGGCAATGGGCCCATTTTGACACTTTTTACAAAATAGTGTTTCATTAAAAATTTAATAATTCTATAGGCGTCTAATTCACATCATACATTCCTCATTAGTTGTACATTTAAACAAAACAAAGAACCACCTCGTATCAATTAAAACTTCATCAAAAATTTAGTTTAAAAAAAGGGGGGCGCGCTGCCCCATGTTGCCCTACATTTTGCAGTTTCCGCTGAACCTCTTGTATCTCATAATCCCCTTATACATGCGCTGATAGTAACTGATCGATTTTTGGCCATCTTCTCTGCACCTATAGTGTCTCATAACCACCTCATTCTGGTACTGATTTGCCTGATTGATTCTGGTCATCATTTCCCCGCCTTCTAACTGAGGCAAACTCTGACCCCTTTTACTGAAATAAATTACATTAAATATTCCTTCATTCCTTATTGTTCTTTAAAACCTTCATTATCATACTTAACTGGGCTTCAGTAAAACCTACAATTCCCAAGTCAGCCAAGAATTCTTCCAAAGCCCTTTAGACGCAATGTCTGGACTACATTCTCCTTTTCAGAACCACTTCATAAGGCTTGGGTGCGCGATGCTGCATCTGCGACGGATCAGTTTCAGTAGAGAGCACGACGCCCTCCGGTGGCTCTATGGTGAAGCGCTGCAAGATGGCCGTCGAGAAGAGGTAGAGCTCCATGCGAGCCAGAGACTCCCCGAGACACTGGCGACGCCCTGAGACAAACCAACCAGACAACCCATGTAAACGCAAAGCAAAATGTCGGGAACTTTTCTGGCCGAATTCATAAAAAAGTTCATAATAAAGTAACAATATCGGAAAAAAATCAAACTTAGAACTAAATCAGCTACCGATTGAGAAAGGCAGAAATCCTTCTTTTTTCCCGTCGAGTTTCCCTTCGTTGTCGAGGAAGTGTTCCGGATAGAACTTGTCAGGATGCTTCCAATGAGCGGGATCGCGATGACACATCTCGGCACAAGCGAGAACCACCGTGCCCTGCCACGTGAATTATTATTTCGACCTTAGCGCACCTTCATTCTTCTCTTCGCGTTTATTTTATTGTTTTGGAGCACTAATATTATAATCAACCGCATGCGGCATTCCTCGACTTGAGAAATACAACAAAGACATAAGTGTACTGATATGCAGGCAATGAAAAATAGTACTTGATGAATTCATTCAAATTTACCTTGGGTATGTCATAACCCTCGAAAGTGACGTCAGCGGTAGTTGCGTGTAGTAAACTGATGGGTGTAAGTGAACTCACTCTCAGGACCTCCAATAACACGGCGTCAACGTACTGCAGTCTGCCGGTAGCATACATATGTAATAAAATATCAGCGCACATGAGATTATCAAAAGTATATAATACTGCTTGCAAACATCAATGTCAGCAGATAAATTACTTAATTATAAGTTTGTGCTGCTGTGATCGTTTGAAAGACTAAGTACTCACTACTTGATATCAGAACACCACGCCTTTATGAACGAAGCGCGAAAAGAGTCTTTAGTATTGGTACTGAGATCAAGTGCCGTGTCTAAGGTTCGCATGCAGTTATATATAGACTCAGCTCCATGAATACCATCCGTGATATGAACTTCGAAACATTTCTCCCGCCAGTCACATTTTCTTGAAGTCTCTCATGATTAGAGGCACATCAGAGACTTTCACTAGACTAGCTCCTAACTTGTTTTTCGCCTACAACAGTACTAGGAATCAACCACAACAAAAAGTTTATCAAGGTCCTTAATTCTCACTGATTTCTGTCGTTGAGTGATGGCAGACGATCTTTAGGTACAACTTCGTCCAGACATTTGTGAACTTTAGCTTGAATCTGCAAATAATATTACATCATATAGATTGGTGTGAAGGACATACAATGCAGGAAAAAATTAATATCAGTCGCTCAGTGAATTTCAGTCAATATCAATCATGCTAACTTTCCAGTCATTCACTAAACATGTTAACATCGCATTTCCTAGTTAAATTAATATAGAAAACTTTCCTAACACCCTAAAACAATCATGCTGAACTTCAGCGGAGCGGAATTTGAGAATTAAAATCAAATGAAAGAACCATACCCCTTGACAATTTAGTCACCTTCAAATCTTTGCAAATGTGTAGTGGCACAGCTTTATTCTTCCGCTACATGGTTGAACTATATTAGTTTCAACCATGCTTCCGCTACGTGTATAGGGTGACATGGGGAACGGGACCACTGTGGGTCATGAGCCCATAGCTGGTTTCTCGCCCCAAGTATGGCAGATATTGTCCGTGTTCTCTACCGCCGGTCGGCAGTTTCACAGGGCTGAAGTGTACGGCTCTACGTTTTGCTAAAAGTTTGCGTTGATAAGTTACTCGCAAATAACTTTTAGCCCAGATGAAAGTTTTTTTGCTGCTAAATAAAACTGCTTTCGATTACTGTATATGAAGCTTTTGAAATCACTGTGAATTATGTTTTGAAAGTATTATTTATAGGGATAATCTTTAGTTCATGTTTAGACTATTAGCTTTCAAACTAAAATGTTGACACGATATAAATTGAAATGATATCTAGTGGGGCAAATTAAGGCCCATGCGTGTCACGGGGCAAAGCGCCCATGGTGGGCTCAATATACCTCTGTGAAGTCTTGATATACATCATTAAATTTGTCTCAATGAGCTTTTCAAAACTATGACTAGCTTTTTAAATTACAAATTACACTTCATATTGTATGTTTTTTTTTATTTGCCGCCTCAAGGCAGCAGGTTCTATTTTCTATTGATGCGTATTTATGACCCCTTATCGAGTTATTGACTCTTGCCTTGCCAAAAGATGATTTCAGCCAACACCAATGAGCTTAAAGTTTATGAGTTTTTATGGTGTTGGCTAAAATCACGAGTAAGTACGAATTCCCTGCACATAATATCTGAATTACGGACGAAACTGGAACGGAGTTTTATTTATCGAGTAAATATTTTTTTCTAGTGGAGGATACATTTGTTCATGTCAAGAATGAATTTTTTATGGCAAGGATATATTTTTCAAGTCATGGATATATATTTTATTTCAAGGAAATATTTTTTCCCGTCAGTGATCGATTTTTTAAGCCAAGAATATATATTTTTCAAGTTAAGGATATGATTTTTTAAGTTGTTAATAAATCAATGATTGTAATATATTTTTTTACATTGTTCTTATTTTGAACTGTAAAGTGTTGTTTTATAATTTTTCAACAAAAAATATGCAATTGTTTTAAAGCAGTGGTTCCCAAACTTTTTCAGGCTGGCGCCCCCTTTGGCTCCCTATTGAATTTATAGCGCCCCCCACAGACATAAAAACGTACGCCCTCTTGAAATTTAGTACGCTGCAATTTTAAAAATAAAGGTTTAACACAAATGTGTATTTAACAAACAGAACCCCATTTAGTGAACCAATATGCTTTTCAGCTGTTTTAACTGTTTCAGCACTATGAAACCGAGGACGTCTTGGGCGAATTTACGGCCGGACATGTGGCCGGTCTCACGACCAATCTCCGAATTCAATTATCAAGTAATATCTCCCAAACTAATAAACGCAGCTCTATGAAACTTGGAACACGTATTCATCAGAACCTAACGGTGATGTTTAGCTCGTATTTTTTTAAATTTCGCCTTCATTCGTGAGTTACGTGCATATTGCGAAACAGGCTGAAATTCGCAGAGATCAAAGAATTTCTAACAAACTATTGAACAGATTTGAACGAAATTTTGAATATACATTCCTAACTACCAAATGGTGATTTTTTAGCTTACCGATTTTACCTTCGTTTGCAAGTTTTTTTTTTCATTCACCGTCATTCTTGATTTCACACTTCCTTATATTCGGTCCGTATCGCCGGGTAATTTGTCACTTAAATTCGCGGCAATCAAGAAATTTCTTCCAAACTACAGAACAGATTTCAACGAAACTTTGTATATAAATACCTAACCTCTCAACGGTGATGCATAGCTTGTGACAATTTTTCTATTTTGCTTTCGTTCGTGAGTTATACAGATATAGGAGGAACGACCGGCTTTTCTACTGGCCGGTTTAACCAAGAGCCTTATATACGTATAGCCGTATAACTCGCAAACGAAGGCAAAACGAAAAATTTGTAAACATCACCGTTGCTGAGGTTAGGTATTTAAATTTGAAAAAAAGTCTTGATTAATGCGAATTTAAGCACGTGTCACTTTAAATCACGAATGAAAGTGAAAGGAAAAAAAATCGCGAACGAAGGGACAATCGAAAAAATTTTCACGAGCTAAACATTACCGTTCGGTAGTTAGGTCTGCAAATTCAAAATTTCGTTCGAATCCGTTCAGTAGTTTGGAAGAAATTACTCGATCACTGTGAATTTCGGCCCGCATTGCCATGTAACTATGGCAATGCCATAGTTACATTAACTATGTAAATCGCCCCCCTACCGCCCTCTTCTTCCTTACCACCCCCCAAAATCTTTCCACCGCCCCTAGGGGGGCGATATCGCCCACTTTGGGAACCACTGTTTTAAAGGGACCAGAGGTGGGCGCCTTGCCCCAAGCCCATTGCCCCAGGAAGGGGCAATGGGCCCATTTCGACACTTTTTATAAAACAGTGTTTCATTAAAAATTGAATAATTCTATAGGCGTCTAATTCACATCATACATTCCTCATTAGTTGTAACTTTAAACAAAACACATAACTACTTCGTATCAATTAAAACTTCATAAAAATTTTAGTTTAAAAAAAGATGAGGGCACGCTGCCCCATGTTACCCTACTTAGGACGCTACGCGTACTTTTTTGGAAAGATAACTCCACCTCAGGGTTGATGGCCATGTAGAGTATCATCCATCGAAGAGTTGTTGTGATAGTCTCCGAACCGGCAGAAAACATGTTCCCCATAATGCTTTTGAAATCCAATTCTGCTTACAATAAACAAATGAAATGGTTTTATTGTTAGAATTATTCTACAGTAGACTGTTTCCATGAATGCCTGAGAAAATAGCGGCTGATGAGTGTGCGCGACAGAGTATCGCAATACTTTCGGCTTATTATTAATAAAACGCTGGCTAAGTGGTTGTATAGTTGTATATAGTTTTCATGTTGTGAATTAAGTTAATTTATTCGACGTCGCATAATAATAAGAATGTGTTATACCCAATCTAATATAGTTCCTACTTAAGAAGAACGAATTGCGTCGTTCCTGAATCATGTTTATAACAACCAGTCACATAAAACCATTGACATAGTTTACATGCAACATTAATAATTATTATTCATAAAATCTTGCAATCAATCAAAGGTCCTTCATGCATTCGTATAATTCTAGTTTTAAAACAATATAAGTTGAACCCTTCACCGCTACCGTCTTCGGCAGTGAGGTAGTCCGGGGCGTCTCTGTGGGCACGCTCCAGCAGCAGCTGATCGATGACGTCACGAGGGTTGTTGGGGTCAAGGGTCGCCATATGATCGTCAATTACTTGCTGGGAGCGAGAGAAAATCCCGCGTTACAATCGCAAATTTTTTTTTATAAATTAGTAACCAAGGAATTTGGGGAAATACATTAAATGATGGCAAAAGAAATTAAAACTGTCGCGCATTTGTTATAACAATGTCCACTTTCCTCGCTGCATAGTCATGATTGCAAGTATCAAGCATATATAATGCCAACTGTTTGGATAAGCATAGGTAGTGATAGATTGGTAGATAAGCATAGTTTCAGTGGCCTACGTTAAAAATTTATCATATGAATAGTAATTCGTACAAACCTTCAACAAGTCAACATTGTATTCAACAACATGGTTGCGTGAGACACGTGATATGATTATTGATAACACTCACTTTGAACATCAAGTGGATTTCATCTCGATTCCTGTAGAGGATCTCAGCTTGCAAAACTTTATTCAATATGATTGAGGGCAGTACTTTTACCAGCCAAGGGAACACGTCGACAAGGAACATTGGACCCTGGAAGATGGCCATCTCTTCTTCAATCCTGGTACAATACCGCACCATCACCTCATCATTCAACCCGTAACGCTTGCCTGGGATCAACCACATTTGTTTATAAAACAAAGCAACATAAATCTATATGATGTTGCGCATAATTATTAAGTATTAGATTATGTTATTTGTACTGTATTTTAAACTCAAAATTAAATTGCGTAGCTTCTTGTCTAAGACAGAAAGACTATGACTGTGTCACTTCTCGGATTAAGACCATGACGGTGCTACAGCTTTGACTGTTCGTCTCTCCAAATACGCCAGTTTCCCTCCGAACGTTGTTAAAGTGAGGTCAGCACTGAATAGTCTGTCTAAACCGTACACAGTTATAAATACACATGAAGGAAATTTTGAAAATATTTGGCGTTACAGAAGATGATTTTGTTTAGTACTGTACAACAGTTTTTTCTTTCTATTGCGATATCGAAATTCGATTTCAATCCCTATATTAATGATTCACTTCATATCTTTTACAGAAACAGGTCTTAGGTGCCAAAATTGCCCATCGAATCAGCCCATCGCGCAATATTAAAAGCTTTCTGATTCTAATTGAACGATAATTTCCAGAATATTGATTTTACTTGCGAGCATTTGCCAGATGATGTTGACCACAGCGCAGTTGAAGAAGACATCCATGACGGCAGGCTTGCCGACGCAGGTTTTATCCAAGTGATCCACCAGCATCTCGGCCTCTTGTTGAATGGAGTCCTCGAGCGCTGTTTTGCCCATACCGAGATCACGCAAGTGGCGCAACATGAACCGCCGGTTCTCGGTCCACACTGAACCATGACTGCCGATTACGCCTGAAGCAGAAACATTTATTAGGCTAATTCCAAAGCTATGACATATATTTTTCAGCCAATACAATTTCAAACACTACTTACAAGCAGCAAAATATTCAGAGAAACAATATCATAGTTAAAATCGTTTTTGTTAGCAAAAGTCTGACTCGATTTTAAATGGAGCTTGTCCACTGAACTTTCTGAACTACAAGATAATTATGCCTGTATCGCGAGTATTATTCAAGAACATCTTAAAATATTACATGTAATGATAGTATCCGTGGAGATTAGCATCATGTGTTGCTTCAGGCCTCGCTCATGATCGCTATGCTGCTTTGTGCAGAGTTGGAGTTAAGGGTCTTTTTTTGACGTTTCGGTCAAAATTGAATTTTTGACGTTTCGGTCAAAAATTGAAAATTTCGGCTTTTCCGTTTTCATGGCTCATTTGTAGCTTCTGAAAAGTGGCGTCTATCGCTACAAACCGCATGAATGTGCGTGCTCTAGTTTTTTTCAGAAACTTTTAAATATATAAGTGAACATTTTTCTAGCAATATGCACAAATATTTCTTCAAATTAAATCTGTATTTATAGATCACTGTTCATGTTCTTCAAGGCTAACGTTCTCAATCAGTTCTTCAGCAGTGTGTTCACAGGTGAGGACTTGAACAGTATTTACTGTATTCCAGATATTGAGGAGCGCCCATGCAGTCAACTCGAAGTTAACATGTTTTGAAATACACGAAGAAGAGGTTCCCAAGCGCCTGGTAGCTCTAAATCCCAACAAGTCATGTGGACCAGACGGCTTCCATCCCAGATTGCTCAAAGAATTTGCAACCGTTCTGACCGGCCCATTGACAGTATTCTTTCAAAAAAACCTTGAACGAAGGAACTTTGCCGTCCGACTGGAAAGACGCTCAAGTAACACCATTGTTCAAAAAAGGTGACAAAAGCAGCCCCAGCAACTATTGCCCTGTCAGTCTGACAAGTGTTGTTTGTAAGCTAATGGAATCTGTTGTGAGGGATAGGATTATCGATCACTTGACTGCTCACCATTGTTCCGCATGAGAGGCTGTTGCGTAAAGTGAAGTCTTTGGGAATTGAGGGAAACGTACTCCAATGGATCAGAGATTTTCTAGTAGGTAGAAGACAACGTGTCAGTATTAACGGAACCGTGTCAGACTGGGCATCAGTGCGCAGTGGCGTGCCACAAGGAAGCGTTCTTGGGCCTACTTTGTTCGTTGCTTTTATAAACGATTTGCCAGAAGCCGTCTCCAGCGTGTGCTCCATGTATGCCGACGACACAAAAGTTTTTAATACAGTGAAGGATGCGTCAAATAAAGCGCAATTACAAGATGATCTTGACAGTTTAGTTAACTGGGCTGATAAATAGCAGCTGCGGTTTAATGCTGACAAGTGAAAAGTACTTCACCTCGGGAAGAACAATGAACAGCAAGATTACAGTATGAGAAGACATGGTTGCAACAAGAGAGTAATGATTGAAAAGTCTAGTGTGGAAAAAGATCTCGGAGTTTATGTCGACAAGGAGCTGAAATTTTCTAAGCATGTTGAAACGCAAGCTAACACATCCAACAAACTTCTTGGACTAATCAGACGCTCATACGAGTTCCTAGATGCAGAAACGATGAAGCAGTTGTTTGTTGCCGTCGTACGCCCGAGTCTAGAGTTTGGAAACGTTGTGTGGTCACCGAGATTTGAAAAGGACAGAAATTTAATAGAGAATGTTCAAAGACGTGCAACAAGGATAATTCCAGGCTTGAAGGGCAAGTCCTATGAAGAAAGATTGAAGATTATGAAGCTTCCAAGCCTCAGTTATCGACGTCTGCGTGGGGACCTCATTGAAGTATACAAGTATACTCATGGTTTATACAAGGTCCCCGAAGGATTACTAGAATTTGAAACAAGAACCAACACCAGGGGCCACGGCTATAAACTAAAAAAACTGCGCAGCAACTTCTCCACGCGACAAAATTTCTTCTCGCTTCGAATCACCGACATGTGGAACTGCCTCCGCAATGACATTGTTGGCGCTCCAAGTATGAACGCGTTCAGGAACAGACTAGATAAAGCTATGGAAAAATATATGTTCAGATTTGAAATGCCTAGCACCATATCGAACCCTGTGGAAGTCTAGTAGCTACTTGAAACTATCGTCAGTCACGAAAAGATTCGGTCAAATGAAACGATATTAGATCTTCTGTGAACATGAAGGCACGAAAAGGAAAAGAATCGGCGACAGGCCACATCAGGTCTACACTTCAGCGCCGAGATCAATATGTTATGATCAATATGTCATATTAATTGCAAAGTGTTTACACTCGTTTGAAAGCTACAAACAAGACGTGTTCAACAAAGCTACTACCATGGATGTACATGCAATACTTTTTGCGTAAGGCAGTTATGAACTTTTATAAAATGACCATTTCGTAACAATATTTACAAATTTGAATATGAAAATGGTATATATAGATCATTATTTGCGTTAATTGCAAAGTGTTTGCATTCGCTTGAAAGCTACGAACAAGACGCGTTCAACAAAGCTACTACCAGGGATGGATGTGCAGTAATTTTTACGTAATGCAGTTTTAAACTATATATACATCGGACTATGATTATTTTTGACCCAATGACCTACGTAAAATTGTGAAAAAAAGTAAAAAAATCTAACCTGGCTGGACCTAATCTTAGTAGAAAGGTGTCAAGCAATGTAAAGAAGGGTTTTATACACACATAGCCCTAACTCTAACCCTAAACTAACGAGGTTGGCGTTTTTTAAAATGTCCGGTAGTGTAGTTCATTTATTTTCGTGTCCGGTTTTTAAGTACAAACTAATTGTAAGGTACATAACCGGACTCGACTTTGTCCGGATTTCTAACCCATGTCCGGTAATATTACCAATCCTGTACGGCTATTGTTCGAAACTTGTTTACATATCTTTATTTGGCTCCCTTGAAAAATTTAAAAATCCAAAAACACCCATCTTAAAAACTTTATATCTCCTGTAGTATTCAAGCTACAGCAATGAAACACATACCATTCAATTCGTGAAATAATATCTAGCGACTCTAGGAGCCCTTTTTTTAATTTGTGCATGTTTGACTTATATATGGGGAAGAGTGGGAATGGGGGGGAGGGAAAATGTGGAAAAATAGAAAAAATGCGCATAAAAGAAAAACGATGAAGAAATAAAAAATCGGGGCTCTAGAGCCGCTAGATAATTTTATTACTAATCGAATGAAATGTGTCTCGTTATTTTAGCATGTGACTTGCAAATGCTATAAACTTTTTAGAGCACCCCGCTTTTTGTCGTTTTCTATTAATTTCACGTTTTCTTCCATTTTTTTCGAAAAATTCATACAAACAAATTGTTTTTTATTGAAGAACACCTTAAATTTTTAAATGTAATGATGGTATCCGTGAATATTAGCATCATGTATTGCGTCAAGCCACACTCATGGTCACTATGCTGCCTTGTGCAGGCTTATTCTTAAACGCCGAATATACATATACTATACAGAACTGAAGTTGAGATCTATTCATCTCGAATCGCTTATGCTACATTCGCGACTGGAACCTTCACTCAAGAAAGAAAATTTGATTTTTTAGTAATGATTTCACCAGCATTTTTGAAGTGGGTGAATAAATCAAATGTGAAGAATGCCGGACGTCCCTGGATGTCTGGATGATTGAACGCCTTCTTGATGAGGTTGTAGTCGGTGACGACCACGATGCGGTGAGAACCCCACTTCGTCCTGACGGAGGGAAATCACGGCATGGACCAGCTATATATGAGGCAGGAGAGACTAACTCGTTCACCTTACATCTTACAGGCGATCAGAAGTGGCCTTGATGGCCAGTATAGTAAACGATAAAGCACAATCAGTGTATCTAAACACAAGCTCACAGTTTATTGTAGTCCAACTCGATCGTAGCACGTAAGTACATCGTTAACATTCTCTCGTTATCAATAACAGCATTGAGAACAATCTCTTACGATTAAGTACTCGTACATTGAGAACAAGTGAGCTTCAGACTTATTTGGGACAAAGTTTGAGCAAATCGACCTCATGCACGCGGCACATACTGCAGGATTAGTTATACCGATCTTTTAAAATTTTGAACGTTTTCTAATTAATAAACTCACGTGAAAATGGGTCCGCGTTTTTTCCTGAGATTGAAAAAGTGTTCGGTGATGGAAATTGAACGCGAGGGCAACTCACCCAGAATCGGCCACCCAAACGATCCTGTTCAATACAAAATGGATCATTTTAAATATGATTGATTATATTTATATATACTCCTTCCGTGCCAGCCAGCAAGGAGTCCTTGAATAATTTCATTAATTAACAATCTATAGTTGATGTGACCAAGAAAACTTGAAGATAGACAGCATTATTTCAGACAATTTTCCCATGTGGCATAATTTGAGCTCGTGACTGAATTTGCTTTTTATTTCCTGTCTTTTATATCATTAATGCAGTCTCAACTTTATCATGTATGTATAATCACAGTTATGTCAGAGTTATGATCGACTGCTCCTACCTGGGGGCATCCGCGCTGGCTTCTTAAGAAACTTTGACAGCAGAGCCAGGAGCGCGAGAAAAAGTACGATCTCGACGAACATGTTGATGTTGGGGCACGTGGTTTGTACCGGCCGAAATTGTTCTTATTAGAATATTCTTCTGAGAAAAGGTTAGACGTTCAAGATAAACTATATGTCGCTAGGTTCATTTGCGTTACCTCGTTTTTTTTTTTTTTTTGCTACAGAGAGATTCCGTGAGCAATTTCTGTAAACCGATTACCGAGCTGCGAAGAAATTCTTTATCAATATCAAGAATCGATAGGTATATGTACTTAACAACGGAAAAAATCGTTCGTCTTAGAGTGTCTACTTCTGAGTCACAGAAGCCGTTAATATGTGATGTAACTCTTCATTGCGATATTTTTTAAGTGATTAAGTTAAATAATCTCTTTCACACGCATCTGCACTATATGTTTCTGGGTCCTTGACAGAGATCAGGCTGAGAGGAGCTTCTGACACAACAAGCCTTCAACCCAATCGTATAAAAAATATGTTTCAGGGTAAAGTAATTCCTTGCATGCTTCTTATTGAAACTATTTTAGGTCGCATCGTCTCTTCACTGCACCTTCCTCGCGGCACCCTGAGCGACCACTAAGCAGGGCTCCCAGCCAATAATTTGAGAAAAACTTAGATGGTTGCTGAAAAACACCCAGATTCTGCAGATTTTGTGGGAAAAAAACCCAGACAACAAATTTCATCAAATACATTGTAATTTTACTTACTTCTGATGGAATTATAAATCTTCGGCTGCTGCTAAATTTGGTATTTTATGAGTCTCTGTCTTGGTTAGCTCTTGGATGAGCGTAAAATCCATATTTCTGTTACTACTCCGGGAAAAATAGAAGGTAATATTATTTAAAACGCAACCCATAACAAAAACTGATGGCATGTCTTTCTTCAATAGGGTTTGAAAGCCACTCATGTTGCCCATCATAGTAGAACAATTATCGCTTCCAAATCCAATAATGTTTCAAAAAGGATTTCTTTTTCTCATTCAGAGTCGTTTTAACAGCGTTGTATAAACCACTGGCTCTTCCATCTTCAACAACAATTGAGTCAAGCAAACATCACATACATCATTTTTTCAACATCAAAATATCTAACGACAAGAGCTAATACCTGTGAAACGAACATGTCTGTGCTCTCATCGATTTTCAGACTGAACTTTTCATTTCTACGCTAATCAACAATTTCCCATTTTTCATGATAAGTAATTCCTTCCTGAATAAGATATGAAGCTTTTGTTGCATGAAGTTTTACAGTTTTAGCAATACTGCTATCATGAAATGCTCTCTTGCATACTTCACTAGATGATCTGCATGCGCGAATGGCACATTGTGTTCAGCAATATAAGCAGATATAGTAATTCTGCCTTTGCAACTTCGTCACTCTATACTTGAGAATCTGTTTCTTAATAAATGAATCAATTTTAGTAGCAGCTCTAGCTTCTTTCATGTTGTTGAGATGCTTCGCAGTCTTACATGTGCCATCAATACGGATCTATTAGCATTTTTGTTTTGAGTTTTACAACATGCGCAATATGAAACACCTTTTTCTTTCGAATCTTTTTGCAGCCACTCCTTAAAGTCTTTTTCATGTAACCACTCGTCTTTAAAAAGACTGTTTATACCACCTTTAAGCTACTTTTCTAGGAGGACTTGCCATTTTCGGGGCTTTCACTTTTCACTATGCTAATTTAACAGCACCGATAAGTACAAAAGCAACAGTAAAACTTAACGCACGACACAACTATAACTTGTCACTTGTCAATAGCGAGCGCGGTACTGCGAGTGCGAAGTGTGCGACGAGAAGTTGGGAACCGTTGCTTTGACTGGTAATGAACGCGTTCAATACTGTAATAAACGCGTACAATACCAGTACCGTCTGTCAGCTAGGGAATTTATACAGTCTGACGGTTAGTGCGTTGCTCCATTCATTGTGTCTTGACTCTGCATAATCAAATTTAAGGCAACGAGAATATTTCAATTATATTATTGGCTGAAAATAACTTACTTAACGAAAAAAAAACAGATTTTGCCATTTAAAAGAAAAATACACCCAGACACCCAGGTGACGGCAAAAAAAAAACAGATTTGGGTGGAAAAACCCAGCGCTGGGAGCCCTGCCACTAAGGCGCCAGCGATGCCAAGTTGCCAACATTTGGTGCAGTCAAGGCCAAAGTCATAAAAATGTTTACAGTGTACACATCTTCTCTTGCAATTTGCATGCCTCTTATTCGTCATTTATGATTACGTAATGTTCGTTCGTTCTATATAAGACATGGAATAAGGCCGCTAAAAAACAATAAATATGCGAAAGATGAAAGAAATGATAGAAAACGTAGTCATCTTGATTGTATTAAAATAAAATTTCAAAGAAAATTTAATTGAGTGTTAATCCGCATTGATTTTTGATGTTGTCTTGTTCCCATGGGGACATTAGACACAAAAGTTATCAAATAAAATTTAATAACAAAATAATCTGAGCGTGCCAACAACAACTTTGAAAATTTATAACCGCCTTATGTCACTATTGTTTCTGGAGTTAAGAACCCAGTCACTAAAGGCCCGTTTACAGTAGTGGCAACGACATGCGCTTTGAGTCGTTTGCTGCAGTGCCTCACCGCGCACAACCGTTCACACTACGTTTGTAATAGCGATAGCTCGAGACCGCGCGCTTTGAACACTAGTTGCCACCCAGGTGTCAATGAGGATGGATGTCACCGAATTTGAGCTGTAGCCATTGTTCTCGGGTGTGCTGCGGTCCGTCATTCTTCGCTCTATGTCAGTTGTAAACGAGAATTTAGCATAGGCATCATAATTAGAGACTTAGCACATTCAAAAAGATACAGTTTATAAAATATAGTCTATTTTTAAATAAAAAGTTCCAATATTCGTACCGATATTATATCATCCTTTGAAATCGCTAAACGGTAATGCATAAATTGTCAGAAGTTGCTAAAATCACATAAACTAAACACGTCATGTAAAAATAACTTACATCATTTACATTTCGATTTTTGTACTCCTTCGACCGAACACTCCATGGGCATTCGTGTTCTCTATAAAGATCAATTAGGCGCTCTACTAGAGAGTGACTCCAAACGAGTGGTGTTATTAGTCGACATTTGGTGTGCCGGACCAGCTTACACAATCAACCTTACTAGACCACAGATAGCTATCTACTAACTAAGAATATCTTTATACAAAACGTTTCGGAGACCAGCTCCATCGTCAGTTCGCAGAATCTAGAATCACAAATCAGAAGTCACAAATTAATACATTGAAACCATAGAGCGAATTGAATTTCTTTAATTAACTAATTTAGATTTTTAATTTGATTTAAATTTTTAATTTATTTTAATTTCTTAGTTAATTTGAGATTTAAGCATACAAGTGATATCAATTCTTTAATAGCTAAATAGCCTCATCCAACTAAGCGCTGCGCTTGTGTTGCATGAGGCATGGCCCCTGTCAATCGCTAGCTCGTCAATCGGTCAAGAAGCGCATGCAGAGGCTGCAAAGCGCCTCTGCATGCGCTTTGAGGCACTTGATTCTCGTGTGTTGCCCCTAGTGTGAACGGGCCTTTTTAAATTTATAACCGCCTTATGTCACTATTGTTTCTGGAGTTAAGAATCCAGTCACTAAGGCGTTATTCCTCGCGACACATTTGCTGAATAATCTATCGACTAAGCGTCTGACTCAAGCTCTCAGTGACACCGTGGACTCATAGCTAACTATACATCTGCTTGTACATATACACGAGGATTTGTTTCCACAAACTACTCTCGGACATAATCACACTTCGCTAAGTTTCATACCAATATATTTACACGTTGGTGAGATAACAGTCTTGATTTCTCAATAAAATCAAAATATTTGTCAACAATTAATGAGTGTTTGACATGTTAACAACCTAGTTATGCAACAAGCGTTAAACTGAAGTTAAGCCAGCGTTCGTCAGTCCTCGGATTTTCATCAACTACCCTCAGTAAGAATACTAATGATCAGGTTACGGCTAAGATAGCTCATGACCATTATTCACAGGCATAAAAAGGCATTCAATTGATAATGAAAATCCATAATGATTAAAAATGCACTACAATTACCTCACGTCCTACCACCGTCAGAAATCGATGAAGACAACTTTAAACTTAATAGTGTCTACATCTCTGGTACAATAATCATCAGAGGCAAATTAAATCAAAGGATATTAAAATCCATCTAGGTTTTTCAGATTTTTTACTCTCTTCATTTCTAAATATTCTTGATTGACGGTTGCAATCCAGCGATGGACGAATGCGCTGGCACTCGTTTAACGCTCTGAATTACGAGGACGAAAATGAGCATTTGGAATAATAATACGTTGATTTGAAGAAGAGTTAATCATTCCAGCCCAAGTGTATTTTATTTTGCACACGGTAAAATTGCAAGGCAGTATTTATTTTTATATTAAAAAATAATGAAGAAAAAGACAACAAAATTATTAGAATTAAACTCAATATGAACCTAACTAATTTGACATATTTAAAATACCTAAATTCGATTACGTTTCAGTCATCACTATCGATTAACTGCTACACATTCCTATCTTTCTTAAACAAATACAGTCCTCATTAAATAAGTGATTAGCGACAACCTCTATCGCAGGAGATTAATTTCAATAACGTGACAACTAATCACCTGACAAATTTAGGTATCATTGGTTGTACTGTTCAAATTTTAGTCATTTAATTGAAAAAATCGTGAATATAGGCTCGAATGTGAATCGGGTGTTCACGGTACTCGTGTTCACTGCTGCATGCTTCCTGAACCATCATCCGCTATGCCATGGATAAGACATTGGACAGCTAGATTTCACCATACTCATTCAAATAAAAAATTAAGATTAATGAGTGCTAAGCACATCGAAATCCTAGGCTCAGTGAAATCAAGGCAAAACTATAGGTCCCTCTAATGTTATCAGATTTGAGGAAAGAGGGCACTAAAGGGGTTTGAGATTAGATTTAGAAGTTACAAACGGCCGACCCTTTCCTATAATTACTTAGTGTAAATATGTAGCCAAGGGTTAAGGAAGCCTCGTTGAGAATCGAGTTTAAATTTATTGATGACTGAAGAAGGATGCAGCTGATCAACACCTGTGTAGGTGATGGTCGGTAGGATAAAGACATGACATAGCATAGCAAAGCACGTCAAAATAGCATAAAAAATTTCGAAAGAATATTGAAATCAAGCGGTTATTCAGTTTAGACAGTTACACTTGAAAATTTTTAATTACAATATAAGAATTGAATTCCAGAAAAACTTAGCAGCTCAACCATGACCGTTGTTAATTCTCACGACGACTCTGGCCAGAAAATAAAGCTAAGGCGTGACTGGCCCGCTTATAATCTTGTTCGCTTGCGCACTCTGAACAGAATTCACGATTTGAGGATGACCCTAATACAACCTTAAAGTATTTTTATCGTTTAGTGAATTTTTATTATTCATGCTTGGGAACTAATAGTATTATTTAATATTGTATGATTGCATAATGATGAATATTGAAGTAAATTGTTAAACTGTGGATAACATGGTTACATGAAACATAAAAAAGTGGTGTTTAACGAGCTTGGGGATTTAAAGAAAGTAATTATGACGTTCATAAGAAATGATAGCGTGAGTTATGAATTCGAGTCTTAGCAGGTACATGCGGACTCGCTACATTTCTACTCGAGCCTCCTTGTCGCCCGATTTTCGAGTGTTACCACTACAACAATGACTTTCAAGCTAAAACCTGGCATTTTCAAGCAGAAATACACTAAATATTCAAATTTTGTAGCTAAAATAATCACTACCTAGATTTTTCATTTATATTTTTTCTCGCTAAAGCTAATTTTTCCCCCTCGGAATGTGTTAAAAATACAATAGATCTAGGAAGAAAACAGCTGAATTGGCAATACTGATTTTCACCAGCGCGAGCAATGAGGAGTATTTCAAGTGTTGAAAAAAACGGTCAGACCGGCGTTTTAGCGGTCGGCCGTCCCGAACATTAAAAAAGTATCAGCGTTTGGTTGGGAGTCATCCCGAACCGCCTTGGTAGAATTTCACGGAACCTCCGGCCACTAAAACGCCGGTCCAAGATCTTTTTTTTGCAGTTTTTCGAACAGCGTATAGCGCGATTGCAGCAGACATGAAAAATTATAATTTCAGTCAAATCGACTGAATGAGACGCAATGTCTGGACTACATTCTCCTTTTCAGGACCACTTCATAGGGCTTGGGTGCACGAAGCAGCATCTGCGACGGATCAGTTTCAGTAGAGAGCACGACGCCCTCCGGTGGCTCTATGGTGAAGCGCTGCAAGATGGCCGTCGAGAAGAGGTAGAGCTCCATGCGAGCCAGAGACTCCCCGAGACACTGGCGGCGCCCTGAGACAAACCAACCAGACATCCAGTCTAACAGCAAATCAAAATGTTGGGAACTTTTTGGCCGAATTTATAATAAAAAAGTTCGTAATAAACCAACAATATTGGAAAAATTAGACTTTAAACTAAATCAGCTACCGATTGAGAAAGGCAGAAATCCTTCTTTTTTCCCGTCGAGTTTCCCTTCGTTGTCCAGGAAGTGTTCCGGATAGAACTGGTCTGGATGCTTCCAATAAGCCGGATCTCGATGGCACATCTCGGCACAAGCGAGAACCACCGTGCCCTGCCGCATGAATTATTATGTCGACCTTAGAGCACCTTCATTCTTCTCTTCGCGTTTATTTTATTGTTTTATAGCCCTAATATTATAATCAACCGCATTCCTCAATTTGTGAAGTTCGAACGAAGGCATAAATGTACTGATATGCTGGTAATGAAAAATAATATTAAAAAAATAATATATGGGGAATTCCACTAAATTTACCTTGGGTATGTCATAACCCTCGAAAGTGACGTCAGCGGTAGTTGCGTGTAGTAAACTGATGGGTGCAAGTGAACTCACTCTCAGGACCTCCAGCAACACGGCGTCAACGTACTGCAGTCTGCCGGAAGCATATAGATGCAATAAAATATCAGCGTACATGAGATTGTCAAAAGTATATAATACTGCTTCCAAACATCAATGTCAGCAAGGATATGACTTATATACTTATAAGCTTGTGCATGATGTAAACTTTAGATAGACTATATACCCACTACTTGACATCAGAATGCCACGTCTTTGTGAACAAAGCTCAAAAGGGGTCTTTAGTATTGGTACTGAGATCAAGTGCCGTGTCTACGGTTTATAGGAAGTTATAGACTCTGTACCTCAGGACCGTCCGTAATTAGAACTTCGAACCATTTACTAGTTCTCCGCCTATAATAGTACACGGTTTTATTCTTATAATGATAGATAAATCAAAACTACTTTTATTAAACCACTATAAAAAGTTTATCAACGTTCTTAATCCTCACTGATTTCTGTCGTTCAGTGATGGCAGACGATCTTTAGGTACAACTTCGTCCAGACATTTGTGAACTTTAGCTTGAATCTGCAAATAATATCACATCATCATATATAGATAGATATCATTCACTAACTGAATTTCAGTTAATATCAAGCATGATAACTTGCCAGTTATTCACTGAATATGTTACATCACAATTCTTAGTTAAATTAAAATAGAAAACTTTCCTAATGTCCTAAAACAATCAGAATGAAGTTCAGAGAAACGGAATCGAAGAATTAGACATTAAATGAAGGAACCATACCCGAAACAATTTAGTCATCTTAAAATCCTAGTAAATATCTAGTGGCACAACTTTATTTTTCCGCTACGTGTACTTGGAACGCTACGTGTACTTAATTGGGAAGAGAACTCCACCTCAGGGTTGATGGCCATGTACAGTATCATCCATCGAAGAGTTGTTGTGGTAGTCTCTGAACCGGCGAAAAACATGTCCCCCATAATGCTTTTGAAATCCAATTCTGCTGACAATAAACAAATGAAATAGTTTTATTGTTTGAATTATTCTATAGTATACTGTTTCCATGAATGCCTCAGAAAATACTGGCTGATGAGTGTACTCGAGTATATCGAAATACTTTCGGCTTATTATTATAAATAGGACGCTGGCTAAGTGGTTGCATATGTATTTACGAAGCATTCAAATTGTGAAATTAAGTTAATATATTCGTCATCGAAGAATAACAGAGATGTATTGAGCCCCAATATGTTATAGTTCCTTCCTAAGAAGAACAAATGGCGGCGTTCCTCAAACATGTTCATAGCAACCAGTCACATACAATCATTGAACATAGTTGACAAGCACTATCAATAGTTAATGTTTACATTTTACAAAATCTAGCAATCGATCAGAGGTCCTATATGCATTCGTTTCATTCGAGTTTTAAAAACAAAACCCTTCGAGTTGAAACCCTTCACTCGCTACCGTCTTCAGGAGTGAGGTAGTCAGGGGCGTCTCTGTGGGCGCGCTCCAGCAGCAGCTGGTCGATGACGTCACGAGGGTTGTTGGGGTCAAGGGTCGCCATATGATCGTCAATAACTTGCTGGGAGCGAGAGAAAATCCCGCGTTATAATCGCAAATTTTATTTTATAAATTTGTAACCATGTATTTCGGGGAAATGCATTAAATGAAGGCAGACGAAACTAAAACTCAACAAGTCAACATTGTTTTTAACAACATGGTTGTGTGAGACACATGATTTGATTATTGATAACACTCACTTTGAACATCAAGTAGATTTCATCTCGATTCCTGTAGAGGATCTCAGCTTGCAAAACTTTGTTAATTATGATTGAGGGTAGTAGCTTTGCCAGCCAAGGGAACACGTCGACAAGGAACATTGGACCCTGGACAATGGCCATCTCTTCTTCAATCCTGGTACAATACCGCACCATCACCTCGTCATTCAACCCGTAGCGCTTGTCTGGGATCAACCACATTTGTTTATAAAACACAATAACTTAAATCTAAATATGTTGTTGTGTATCATGTATGATTATTATGTATTCGATTATGTTATGTGTAACAGTGTACTATATTTTAAACTCAAAATTAGATTATGTAGCTTCTTGTCTAAGACAGCAATACTATGACTGTCACTTCTCTGATTAAGACCATGACGGTGCTACAGCTATGACTGTTCGGCTCTCCAAATACGTCAGTTTCCTTCCGAACGTTGTTAAAGTGAGGTCAGTACTGAATAGTACGCATAAACCGTATACAATTATGTATACATATGAAAGAAATTTTAAAAATATTTGGCGTTACAAAAGATGATGTTGTTTCTTACTTTACAACAGTTGATTTCTTCCTACTGTGATATCGAAATTCGATTTCAATCCCTATTATTGATTCACATTATTTCTTGTACAGAAACAGGCCCTAGGTGTCAAAATTGCCCATCGAATCAGCCCATCGCGCAATATTAACAGCTTTCTGATTCTAATTGAACGATAGTTTCCAGAATATTGATTTTACTTGCGAGCATTTGCCAGATGACGTTGACCACAGCGCAGTTGAAGAAGACATCCATGACGGCAGGCTTGCCGACGCAGGTTTTATCCAAGTGATCCACCAGCATCTCGGCCTCTTGTTGAATGGAGCCCTCGAGCGCTGTTTTGCCCATACCGAGATCACGCAAGTGGCGCAACATGAACCGACGGTTCTCGGCCCACACTGAACCATGGCTGTTTATGATACCTGTCA